GTCACTTTATACTTACATAACAAATACTCTCCCCGGTCACTTTATACTTACATAACCAATACTCTCCCTGGTCACTTGATACTTACATAACCAATACTCTCCCTGGTCACTTTATACTTACATAACCAATACTCTCCCCGGTCACTTAATACTTACAACGAGCCAACCTGTCCTTACCGCCACCCATTTAAAACAGAATGAGAAAATCAAGTTCCTATTTTAAGGAATTAAGTTTTTCTAGGTCAGGAGACAGAACTGATAGCTTTCCTCGCTTGGTCGACGGTATAGCCAGGTGTAAAAAATGTAGTTAGTAAATGAGAAAACAATATATATCCTAAATGTTACAGTACAAGGATCTTGGTCGCTATTGTGCCCTCGAGAACATGGCACAAAAGTAAATATCAATTCTACAGGGGGTTCCTACATAATTCGCCTCTTTAGAATTATGCACGACTGTAAAAAATACTCAGAAGAAAAGCAAACTATGCAGAGATTACTTAGAAATATACACCATAGTCACGTGTCACCGCACGCGGAATTTACCACGTGTTCCACTATAACGAGTTGACTCAGGAACATACTGGACACAGGTCACGTGCCATCCTACGTCAGTTTACTAAGAACAACTTACCAAGCAACATTTCCCGCTTGTCAATTTGGAATATCAACAGCAATACGATCATTTCAAGAGGTGACGATAAATTATGCTTCATGAAAAGATAACTCGCTATATCGTGAAATAACTAACTGATATTCTAGCACCCCGCCTTTGCCATCGACTGTTGTATAAAGGGTTAGTATTTGCACATGTGTGGGTGATGTTTAAACTTGCACTAATTCTAGTATTCCCCTCCCTTCCTTAAGTTAGTTTGCGAAGGTATCATTATCTAATTATTGACTCATACCTTCGCTCTGCCCTTCGTGGTCAACGGGGATGTTTGGAAGTCGATCCATTGGAGTCCTTATTTTGGACTTTTCTATCCATGTTACCGTCCAGTTGGGGTCAGATATGTCCTTGTACTTGGTAAGCTTGCCCTCCGGTCCAAAGTGATACTTGCGCAGTTTGAAGCCCAGTGGTATTGCTTCATTGACCTGATATTGATCCGTTTTATCACCCACAGTCACTTCGATACGTACCGACTTAGCGTAGTACACCGTGTGAATGAGGTAAAATTTGGTCAGGTGATGAAACCCTGTAGGGATAAGGTAAAAGTTGGTGATTAAACCCTCTAGAAAAAAAGATACAAGTCACAGATTAAATCAGAAAAATTACGAACCCAAGCTTATTGTGAATGAAAACATGGATAATTTTATCTTCAATGATTCCAATGGGAACAAAAATGAGAAGTGAACTTATATACATTTATATGGCTAAATTTTCTACAATTCGAGTGTACTGCTTGTAGTAAGGATATCAGTAATCATAAAGTTCAGGTTTGATGAAAAGTTCTTTTTTAACAAGCTCGCGGTAAAAACTAAATCCCATTCTCAATCGCCTCTATTCTAATCGTTAATATGTACAGGTAACTATTAATTACCCTTGTATCTGATTTTAAATGTAAGTTGATTCCGTTTTTGTTCTGGAATCTTTAATAACAGTACTTATCTTACAAACTGATTTGTGTAATCTACACACGGAAGCACAAGCCTCCTTGACACCCTATTACATTACCTTTATCTAGAAGATCCACCGTGAGAGAGCTTACTTCCGGAAGGGAGGGGTACGCCTGCTTGTAACAGCCTATGACTTCCACAGTTATAGACTTTTTCAGTCCATTTCGCATATTCGACTCCGAGAAAACGTAGTTCTGATTCAGAGTGGATTTCTCCTCCGGTACAGGTTTCAGGTCCTTGATCTGGAAGGTTGAGTCCTTTTGTCGGACAAAATCACACAGCCGCCCTATCGCCATAGCTCCCGGCACGCGACGGCGGAGCTTTTCCAAAGGGGAGAGAGCTTCTTTAACGATGACGCTACCGAGGTCATAATAGGAAGCCTCTTTGAGAAAAGGGACAGGGAAAATTCCATCTCCTATAACAAGAATATTATATACAGAGAAAAGGGACAGGGAAAACTCCGTCTCCCATAACAGGAATATGATATATAGAGATAAGGGACAGGGAAAACTCCGTCTCCTATAACAGGAATATTATATACAGAGAAAAGGGCCAGGGAAAACTCCGTCTCCTATAACAGGAATATTATATACAGGGAAAAGGGACAGGGAAAACTCCGTCTCTTATAACAGAAATAGTAAATATATAACGGGAATATTATATACAGAGAAAAAGGACAAGGAACACTCCATCTCCTATAAGAGGAATATTATATACAGAGAAAGGGGACAGGGAAAACTCCGTCTCCTTTAACGGGAATATTATTTACAGAAAAAGGGGGCAGGGAAAACTCCGTCAACAATAACGGGAATATTATATACAGAGGAAAGGGACAGGGAAAACTCTACCGCCTAGAACAGGAATATTATATACAGGGAAAAGGGACAGGGAAAACTCCGTCTCTTATAACAGAAATAGTAAATATAGAGAAAGGGGCCAGAGAAAACTCTTTCTCCTATACCAAGAATATTATATACAGGGAAAAGGGACAGGGAAAACTCCGTCTCTTATAACAGGAATATTATATACAGAGAAAAGGGACAGGAAAAACTCCGTCTCCTACAACAGGAATATTATATACAGAGAAAAGGGACAGGAAAAACTCCGTTTCCTATAACAGGAATATTTTATACAGAGAAAAGGACAGGGAAAACTCCGTCTCCTATAACAGGAATATTATATACAGAGAAAAGGGCCAGGGAAAACTCCGTCTCCTATAACAGGAATATTATATACAGAGAAAAGGGCCAGGGAAAACTCCGTCTCCTATAACAGGAATATTATATACAGAGAAAGGGGACAGGAAACACTCCATCTCCTATAACAGGAATATTATATACAGAGAAAAGGGCCAGGGAAAACTCCGTCTCCTATAACAGGAATATTTTATACAGAGAAAATGGACAGGGACCACTCTAATTCCTATAACAGGAATATTATATACAGGGAAAAGGGACAGGGAAAACTCCGTCTCTTATAACAGGAATATTATATACAGAGAAAGGGGCCAGGGAAAACTCTACCTCCTATAACACGAATATTATATACAGAGAAAAGGGACAGGGAAAACTCCGTCTCCTTTAACAGGAATAGTATATACAGAGAAAGGGGACAGGGAAAACTCCGTCTCCTTTAACGGGAATATTATTTACAGAAAAAGGGGGCAGGGAAAACTCCGTCAACAATAACGGGAATATTATATACAGAGGAAAGGGACAGGGAAAACTCTACCGCCTAGAACAGGAATATTATATACAGGGAAAAGGGACAGGGAAAACTCCGTCTCTTATAACAGAAATAGTAAATATAGAGAAAGGGGCCAGAGAAAACTCTTTCTCCTATACCAAGAATATTATATACAGGGAAAAGGGACAGGGAAAACTCCGTCTCTTATAACAGGAATATTATATACAGAGAAAGGGGCCAGGGAAAACTCTACCTCCTATAACACGAATATTATATACAGAGAAAAGGGACAGGGAAAACTCCGTCTCCTTTAACAGGAATAGTATATACAGAGAAAGGGGACAGGGAAAACTCCGTCTCCTTTAACGGGAATATTATTTACAGAGAAAGGGGGCAGGGAAAACTCCGTCAACAATAACGGGAATATTATATACAGAGGAAAGGGACAGGGAAAACTCTACCGCCTATAACAGGAATATTATATACAGGGAAAAGGGACAGGGAAAACTCCGTCTCTTATAACAGAAATAGTAAATATATAACGGGAATATTATATACAGAGAAAAAGGACAAGGAACACTCCATCTCCTATAAGAGGAATATTATATACAGAGAAAGGGGACAGGGAAAACTCCGTCTCCTTTAACGGGAATATTATTTACAGAGAAAGGGGGCAGGGAAAACTCCGTCAACAATAACGGGAATATTATATACAGAGGAAAGGGACAGGGAAAACTCTACCGCCTAGAACAGGAATATTATATACAGGGAAAAGGGACAGGGAAAACTACGGGAATATTATATACAGAGAAAAGGGACAGGGAAAACTCCGTCTCCTTTAACAGGAATAGTATATACAGAGAAAGGGGACAGGGAAAACTCCGTCTCCTTTAACGGGAATATTATATACAGAGAAAATGGACAGGGAACACTCCATCTCCTATAACAGGAATAGTATATACAGAGAAAGGGGGCAGAGAAAACTCCGTCAACTATAACGGGAATATTATATACAGAGAAAAGGGACAGGGAAAACTCCGTCTCCTTTAACAGGAATAGTATATACAGAGAAAGGGGACAGGGAAAACTCCGTCTCCTATCACAGAAATATTATATACAGAGAAAGGGGACAGGGAAAACTCCGTCTCCTTTAACGGGAATATTATTTACAGAGAAAGGGGGCAGGGAAAACTCCGTCAACAATAACGGGAATATTATATACAGAGGAAAGGGACAGGGAAAACTCTACCGCCTAGAACAGGAATATTATATACAGGGAAAAGGGACAGGGAAAACTCCGTCTCTTATAACAGAAATAGTAAATATAGAGAAAGGGGCCAGAGAAAACTCTTTCTCCTATAACAAGAATATTATATACAGGGAAAAGGGACAGGGAAAACTCCGTCTCGAATAACAGGAATAGTATATACAGGGAAAAAGAACAGGGAAAACTCCGTCTCTTATAACAGGAATATTATATACAGAGAAAAGGGACAGGGAAAACTCCGTCTCCTACAACAGGAATATTATATACAGAGAAAAGGGACAGGAAAAACTCCGTTTCCAATAACAGGAATATTTTATACAGAGAAAAGGACAGGGAAAACTCCGTCTCCTATAACAGGAATATTATATACAGGGAAAAGGGACAGGAAAAACTCCGTCTCATATAACAGGAATATTTTATACAGAGAAAAGGACAGGGAAAACTCAGTCTTCTATAACAGGAATATTATATACATGGAAAAGGGACAGGGAAAACTCCGTCTCTTATAACAGAAATAGTATATATAGAGAAAGGGGCCAGAGAAAACTCTTTCTCCTATAACAAGAATATTATATACAGGGAAAAGGGACAGGGAAAACTCCGTCTCCAATAACAGGAATAGTATATACAGGGAAAAAGAACAGGGAAAACTCCGTCTCTTATAACAGGAATATTATATATAGAGAAAAGGGACAGGGAAAACTCCGTCTCCTATAACAGGAATATTATATAGAGAGAAAGAGGACAGGAAAAACTCGTCCCCTTTAACGGGAATATTATATACATAAAAATGGACAGGGAAAACTCCGTCTCTTATAACAGGAATATTATATAGAGAGAAAGGGGCCAGGGAAAACTCCATCTCTTATAACGAAATATTATATACAGAGAAAGGGGACAGGGAAAACTCCGTCTCCTATAACAGGAATATTATATACAGAGAAAAGGGACAGGAAAAACTCCGTCTCCTTTAACGGGAATATTATATACAGAGAAAAGGGACAGGGATAACTTCGTCTCCTATAACGGGAATATTATATACAGAGAAAATGGACAGGGAAAATTCTACCTCCTATAACAGGAATATTATATATAGAGAAAGGGGACCGGAAAAATTATACCTCCTATAACAGGAATATTATATACAGAGAAAAGGGACAGGGAAAACTCCGTCTTCTTTAACAGAAATATTATATACAGAGAAAGGGTAAGGGAAAACTCCGTCTCCTATAACGGTAATATTATATACAGAGAAAATGGATAAGGAACACTCCATCTCCTATAACAGGAATATTATATATAGAGAAAGGGGACCGAAAAAATTATACCTCCTATAACACGAATATTATATACAGAGAAAAGGGACAGGGAAAACTCCGTCTTCTTTAACAGAAATATTATATACAGAGAAAGGGGACAGGGAAAACTCCGTCTCCTATAACAGGAATAGTATTTACAGAGAAAAGGGACGGAAAACTCCGTCTCCTATAACGGGAATATTATATACAGAGAAAATGGATAAGGAACACTCCATCTCCTATAACAGGAATATTATATAGAGAGAAAGGGGACAGGGAAAACTCCGTCGACTATAACAGGAATATTATATACAGAGAAAGGGGACAGGGAAAACTCCGTCAACTATAACAGGAATATTATATACAGGGAAAGGGGACAGGGAAAAATCCGTCTCCTATAACAGGAATATCATATACAGAGAAAAGGGCCAGGGAAAACTCCATCTCCTATAACAGGAATATTATATACAGAGAAAAGGGACAGGGAAAACTCCGTCTCCTACAACAGGAATATTATATACAGAGAAAAGGGACAGGAAAAACTCCGTTTCCTATAACAGGAATATTTTATACAGAGAAAAGGACAGGGAAAACTCCGTCTCCTATAACAGGAATATTATATACAGGGAAAAGAGACAGGAAAAACTCCGTCTCCTATAACAGGAATATTTTATACAGAGAAAGGGACAGGGAAAACTCCGACTCCTATAACAGGAATATTATATACAGAGAAAAGGGACAGGAAAAACTCTACCTCCTATAACAGGAATATTATATACAGAGAAAAGGGACAGGGAAAACTCCGTCTCCTATAACAGGAATATTATATATACATCGACTAGCAGCTTTACAAGTTATCAGAAAATATAAACCACAAACAAAAACCCGAATTATACATAATAAATTATAAACGGGTTATATACAGTGTAAATTTAGACAGAAACCAGCCCAACACTCTTTAGGTCAACTGTCTGTATACTTTAAAATAAGCAAGAGTCAAGTATATGTCAGTAGATAAAATATGTTCTGAAAAATACGTGTAAAGTATATGATAGGAATATGTCTGGTTTATTACTCTTTCTCTGATAACCAGATCATCGGCAATTCATCCTCATTTATTTAGAAACGTTCGTTAATTTTGTTCATGAGTTTTGTTCTCAAGCTTCATGCCCAGATTATCTAAAACATTTTTTTAAATTCCAAACCGGACCGGACTGAATAGCCTGGAACATTTTCGTTTCAATAACATAACAGTAAATAAAACATGAATCACCAAGCCGAAAAAAAGTTGTTGTTTTTTGTTTGGCACGAGACAATAGATATTGAGGGAGGGAGAACGATTTATCATATTTACATACCCATTAGCTGCACGCAGACGACCTCACCGACAAACGGCCAGTTCTTTCTTGCGTTAGGTCCTATTTGTTTGAACAACTGGTTCTGCATTTTTGGAGTCTGGCAGAAGCACGGCAGCGAAAGGTAAACAAAGGTTCCGGAACAGTGACGCGTTGCTATTGTCTACAGATCTCAATCTATGACGTCATAATAGTAAACTTGTTATGACGTCACAACAGAGCTTTCTGCATAACAACAAGTGCCGTCATAAATAGCAAATGCTTTAAGGAGATTTGGCGTTGACCACAAAGAATCAAGATGGCCCAGAATCTTGCAATGAAAAAGAGCATCTTCCAGAAACTAGATTTGGCTGACGCGAACCTCGCATGGCAACTTGTGGGCAGTGAGGTCGTGAAATTATTTGCAGGTAAAGTTTTTTTTAACATAATACGAACCTGCTGAATCCGTAAAGGAACGCACCGTACCAGCCGAACCGAACCGGTTCGCGTGGTTCGCTCGCTGAATCGTACCAAATGGATCCAAGATGGCGGCACTGTAGGTATTGCCTCGGTCGACTTTCACATGCATTTATTGTTTAAATCGAGACGAGGAGTCGTCATTTGCCCATGCAATTGTATGGGTTCTCTAAAAACGGGAAGAAAGTATTCAGGTATCAATTTTAACTGAACAAAAAGTGTTGTGATAGTCTGAACTTGACGGTAATCATCACCGTAATCGTCATCAAGCCTGCGATTTGGGTTACCGACGTACTGTTAGGTATTTACGTCGCAATCGGTGATTAACCATGATGTCATTCCTTTGTACTTATAAGTTCAACCGGATATCATATTAACATTTCAAGATCATACTAATTTATTTGTTCTAGGTAAGCTACTGATGTGACTTTCCTCGTCTCGTTTTATGCACAAAAAGTATGTAGACCCGCTGAAATTCGAATTTTAAATAAACACATTTGCAACGTTGGTATCACCTGACTTTTGAGAACGTCGGTTACATTTTGTTTATCATTCGTCATTTATCACAAACGTCGTCATAAATTGACAACTTTCAGATGAGAGAGTTCCTGTGTGTGTAACAAATACCCCCACCCCCACCCCCACCCCACCCCGAGAGAGTTCCTGTGTGTGTAACAACTAACACACACACACACACACACACACACACTTCCTAGTTTAAATTTTTGGATCATACCGACAATTTAGTATGTCGTTTCAAATGTTAAGGTATACTTACATCGATAGGGAAAGTATACAGAATTTATGATAAAACACCCACGACCAATGTGAAATGTTATCTACACAGTCATGCATCTCAAGTTCTATTTCAGAATACAATGGATAACAAAAACCATCAGTATCCTCAATAAGGTTATCACATCCAGATAAATAATGCAGTTATATACAGTTTACATATTCAGAGCTTGGTATATACATCATGACAGGTAGCGTATGTGACATACAGTCAAACACTTATACTTACAGGAAAAATCCTGGAAGTTGTGAGCAGTGGGCCATTTTCAGCAAATTTAGTCAATATTCTATATCAAATTAAAAGAGGATTGGAACATGGAGGGTCAATTTCAGTTGTGATGGATCAATATTATGGCCCCTCCAGGATTATCCCCGTACTTGATAGAAAGTTTTTCCTTACTTTTTTTCACAAAGAGAAACAAAATATGATGCATTTGAATATTTGTGTTTTAAATTGATTTCTAAAAACTTGTCTTGTATATTGTAACTTTCATGGCTTCAGAAAAAAGTAGTCTTAAAACAGGAAATTAAGTCTTGGTTTTTCTTCACTATTTGAGTATCCATTAACTGAGTGTAAATTGCAATTCCATTGTAATTCCAGGGTTTTTTTCGGTTAATGGTATACCGATACAGTATTCTGGATATTACCTGTATTAGTAACTCTTACATTCTGTATGTACCTCTTGTTATAGCTTATATTTGACTTCAATCTTGATTCCTCTTCCTTACACTCAACAGGGCATTTTTTATTTTCTATTTTTCATTGTAACATTATTTATTTTTTAATCAATTTACATTTTATACCTAAACCACATTTGTATGACACCACCACTCAGTCCTCACAATATTTCTGATACATGTTACACATTTATATTACACATACAGGTGAAAATGTGATATTTTAAGAAACACAAGAGGGAGAAAAGGCAGAGGAAAAATACAAGTTAACTGCTGTATGAGGCAAGGGTAAGCCAGACTGTGTTTAAAGTTCAATAAAACAAATTTTAAGTTTAAAACTCTTCACATTTGATTTATTTAACTAATGGAAAATATTTCAAAGACTTTTAATAATAAAATATTGCCTTCCTATAATATTTATATATGAATAATGAAATGTCTCTGTTTCTGCATTCCTACTACATGATATATATCTTTATTGAATTAAAAACCCATGATAAGTTAATAAGTCCTATCACTAAATTAATGTGATTAGATAAGATATGGTCACAAAACCTAAACTGCAATAATTCAGTTTACGTTGTATTAACAAATCTCTTAAGGATATGATTATTTGAAAATCTGGTCCATTGAAATACTTAAGATTTCAATTATCTTTTTTATTGTGCCCTAACAAGGCCTTTAACAGAAAAGCGTCATTAAAACTGCTGTCTTATTATAGTAAGAAACACATCCTGACTTAATTCTTATGTGATAATCCTACTTCATGGATTTTTCATGATTAAGTTGGAGTAGGCCTATTCCATATCAATCTATTGGGATACATTTGTCTTCTACACAAAGAAAAACCCTACACTTTCCTTGAAGAGATGGGATTGAAATTAGGTTGATAAGATTGTACTTGGAGGAGAGGAGCAATTAGTAGGGCTTTGGATTGATCAGAGGGGTTCGTTACAAATGTCTGAAATACATATATGCTATTCTGATATGGGTCACATGAACACACACTGTGACCCATATCAGTAACCTGTTGTTGATGCAGTCCGAGTACAGCTAGCAAGGATTACAATCTGTCAAAGTGAATGGATATTTTCCCCTTGTAGATTTACTCATGTATTTTGGTCTCTTCATGACAACGATGAATTCATAGAAATGCACGGTCGGAAATGAAAATCAGCATCCTACAGGAACGTTAACATTTCTGCTCCCCTCACGTCTATCGACTACCGGGACTGCGATTGGTTGATTTGAGTAGTACTAAATGCCGGGCGAAGTGGATGTGACACCAAATACCGACTATTTAATTTGAAAATACGCATTTTTTAAATCCTTTTACCTAATCAATGGGGAAAATCATCGCTTTTCATAACTGAAGCGCATTTTAATAGTGACGGCAGCCATCTTGGAAACGCAGGTGCGATTCAATGGCGTTCGTTTATTTGATACCGTACCGAATCGGTACAACTGGTACGAACCCGATAAAGGAACACAAGGTAGGTCTCGCATCGAACACGAGCAAGGAAGCGTTAAAATGTCAAAGGGTTGTATCCTATTCTAATCGTATCTGAAGGCCTTTTCTTTTAGGTGGCAGTGTAGGGTAGGGCATTTCCCCCGTTTTATTATATGTGTTTGCGGCGATATCTATAAATATTACACCTTAGCGTGTATTTCCCTTTTTTTACACGTGTTTGCGATAATATCTATAAATATTATCCCAAATCGGATATTTTCCCCTGTTTTTTTAAATGTGTTTGCGTATAGTCCGCAAACATAATACATACATCCTCATCATGTTTAATGTATGACAGATGATATCTGCGTTCAAATCAACAGATAGTGTAAAAATGCAAATCGGACCATGTTGTTGTTCTTTCTCCATGTAAACGAAACTAGTGATATTCAATTCGCTGTTCACATCTCTCTGCTGTTCAAATGTTCATCACATCCCTATACAACCTCCTCCTGTTCGTTCCGTGCTTTCTGGTATTTCCGTTTCTTCTAGTCTGTCTGCACAGAGAAAGACCAAGCACATGGTTTAGAAGTAGATTAAGATTAAGAGACATGTATTCATTCAGTTCACGATAAAGCTTAATTCTTTGTTCGACATATTTATCACAGGTAAGTAAAGAAATGGTGTGTCTTCTATAGGGAAGCCACATATACAACGTTGGTAATCAATCAGGTTAACACGAAACAGATCACTTTTCAAAGTACTAAAACGGTTTTTCACGTGTGTTTGCAATAAGATCTATAATTATTTCCCCTAATGATTTTTCTGTGATGTGATGGAGGCATAACATATTATCCTCAATTGAGTTCATAGTTTCATGTTTCCATTTTTTTGCAACGATATCTATAAATATATATGTGTGGGTCAAAGAAGTAATAAAGACGGTAAAATCCCATATAACACTGGATCCTAATGGGGGTATGTCCGTAGGATACGAATTACTTAAAACATTATTTGGGGGAAAGAAGTAATTCCAACAGTGTGGACAAGTATAGGTTCCGCTCCTTTTTCAAGACACAGTGAAACAGAACAGTTACATGTACATATACATCATATACATGTTTATGTACATGTTACTGTTCTGTTTCACTGTGTCTTGAAAAAGGAGCGGATCGCTCCGAAAATTTGACAACCTAAACTTGTCCACGCTGTTGGAATTACTTCCTTGCCCCATATACACATATATGTGTATACATGTATCTGCGGGTGGCACAGAAGTCCCTGTTTCCATCACATGTGCGGAGACGGGGCTACTGATTAATACGTGTACTATCCCCGTCCCTATCTTCAAACGATTAATAGTGATGAACAGTAAAACACGCTAGTACTTAGAAGGAAATGCTTAGGGTCGCATAAAAAATATATGCATTGTAATGTAAGTAGCGGAGAAATATTCACTTGCGGAAGAAAAACGTCTGCGCCTTCTTAATTCTGAAACAATTATTTGGAAATATATGGGAAAGCCAGATAATTGTTTAGTAAACATAGAGGTATATAATGTGAGTTGTGACAGTGAACATAGTGGTTTACTGAAGTCCCATTGTGTGTTTACATATATATGCATCGTAATTTCAGGCGAGCACCTCATACCGATTCCAAGTTTCAGCAGTAAGCGCTCGCCGTGCGCTCCGGGGTTCGTAGCGCTTCGGAAGGAACGCACATTTAAGGAATGGGTTTTCAGACGGCCTCAGAACTTTCTCTTGACAGAATTTCTTTGGGATTTCCATCCTTCATGGGACAACAAACAACGCATTCTCCACTCAAGTTCGAAACAGGAAGACACAGATGCCAACTTTGTGTACGAAAGATCGCTAATAAATAAGGGCCAAAGTAAAACGATTCGCGTAGTTCTCAAGGGCAAGGAGAAATCCTCTCTGGATGAAATGCCTGGGGAAATGACCTTAGACCTCGAAAACTTCGGTAAACAACAACAAAAAACATTTACTATAATAGAAAATGTTTACATTTTTGTGTTAAAGTTCAATGATCAGTTCAAAATGGATATGTATTTTTATTCATTAATTTTTATTTAATTTCTTCTTGTTTCACGTTTATTTACAAGCAAACTAACTCTTTTTAAAGAATTCATCTAGTGATTTTTAACATTCACGTGAAATGATATGCACAGCATTAAATAAAAAAAAAATCAGCAGTATCAGTCACGGCACTAGTTATCGTAAACAAAGTGACGCATTCGGAAATCACTTACCTGTAGCATTCTATCTTTACCCTAGTTTTATAACTTTTTACTTCGTGTAACACTCATTCGTACACGCCAGAGACTGGGAAAACGTTTCATCCTCAATAACAATGTGAGAACATATTGCTCTAAACAAGCGAACAAATGAACAACCAGGTATTGAACAGTAGCATTACTATTATGTCCACTTAATGTCTGTACTAATTTCAGAGGACTCGTATTTTCGTTCACTTAATGTTTGTACTAATTTCAGGGGACTCGTATTTTCGTCCACTTAGTGTCTGTAATAATTTCAGAGGACTCGTACTTCGATGACCTCGACATCTTCCTGGTGGATACGGTGTACTCCTGCGACTCCGGCTTCCTGGAAGTGACAATAGATGGCGACACTTCCCAGATAGAATTCACAGCGAGGTTTCCAATAGGATTTAAGTTTCTCAAACTAGATACTGGATATGGACCGTTCCCAAGAAAGGTCAGACGCATTAAGCCAATCAAAGCTGAGAAGTGGAAGGGGGTTTGGCTGGACCGGACTCATTATAAACATGCCCTTCACCAGATCATGCCTAACCAGAACAAATACGGTGAGTCATGATAACGAATCCTGTCATTATATTCTGTTCTATTATTCTGGTTCTCTTATTCTTTTGATAAATCAATAACTCTTTCTGTACTTTTTAATTGCTCTTTTTGTCTTTTTAATTGTTCCTCCTGTTCTATTTAATTGCTCATTCAATCATTTTTAATCACTCATTCTGTATTTTTTAATTACTCATTCTGGTGGTTTTTTTATTGCTCATTCTATCCCTTTTTTATTGCTCATTCTGTACTTTTAACTGCTTCTTCTGTACTATTTAATTGCTCTTTTTGTACATTTCAATTGTGCTTTCTGTTCTTTATTTAAGTAGCGTGAATCCTGTGTTGATAATAAGTAATCAATATTTTCTTCATTCGCAATATTTTATTGATGGATTAAAGTTTGGTCAGATCTCTGATAGCGAATTAACATAGATAAGTTGAGAGTGATTTTCTCCCATGAAGGTGGCGGTGCGGGCGATGTGTTGGGTATGTACAATACTCCCTTCAACCTGAACGACTAGTACAAACGTCCTAGTGTGGAAGTGAGGAGAGATCCGCCGGAGGAGTTCCGAACGGACAGTGTCAGAAACCCCAGTGTACATATAGAATTGAAGTATTACATTATAATTAAATCAATTGATTACAAAAGTAGCTGCATTTATTTCTTTAAATCAGTTCTAAACTTCATGGGAGTTTGATTTGTAAATATTCTTATTTCTATGGGATTTATGTTTTGATAAATGAACGTGTTTGAGATTCTTTTCCTCAAATGATGAACCAAACTGTACAATAACACGATGTCTAAATCAAAATCTAAAGATAAACACGTCACCGCCATATGCGTCTTCCACCATGAACTCGTGGCACCATTTCCTGTTACACGTGACGCCAGGTTAGGGGACAGCACGGTTATTTCAAGTGTCTTTACTGACGAGAAGAACATGATTTTAAGTTTGAAATTCTATATAGATTTACTCTGTTCCGTGCTTTAATTCGAACACACTGCAGATACACATCAAGCAGTATACTTGATTTTCCTGTTACTCTTACACATGAGAACAGCATAGTTCACATTATATATTGATTTTGTAACGTCATAATGATATCCGTTGAATGATAAGTGAAACAGGTGAAGACAAAATTCTACATTTATTGGTATAAAAAATTAACTACAACGAACAACCAACCGTAACAGTCATCTTGTTGATAGAATACATAAATTCCATTTTCAGTTCTAACAGCAGTGGCGGTAAATACAACAGTGTCGCTCTACATGTGTATCACATCTACAAAAACAACGTCACCGTATCTGTATCGGCGACACTACCATGTCCATGACAACGTCGTTACATTATATATAACCACGATGGTTCAAAATGTATAACACCAACGCAGCACTTCTAAGTGACAGCTACACTGGATTATTTGTACATTACATAACAGCGACGCTACCCTATCTGTAATAGCGACGCTACAGTATCAGTAATAGAGACGCTACGATATTTAATTCCGTCTTTGTGTATTGCAGAGTTATCTTCTCTTGGGAACAGGTATTGATTGTTACGTCATTGGTTTGTGGGAGAAAATTACGTCGTTTTCTCAAAAATTGATGACGTTTCTCTCACAAACAAGTTACGTAACAATCAATACCTGCTCCCAAGTGAAGATAACTCTGCAATACGCAAAGACGGAATAGCGACGCTACAATGTCTATGGTTTTTTCTCTCTCCACGGAACCTGTAATAATGACACAAGCGTTGTCCCTAATTTAGTCGTCACGATACCTAAAAGCAGCAGTTTTCATGCGAATGATTACCATTAGTTATTCATTAACAACACATCCTGCCAAACAATATCATAAACAGAAAGTTTTGTAGTCACATCGAAAACAGTATGGATCAAATAGACGAACACACAGCATGCTATTCTAGTTTTAAGAAACATTTCTCAAGGCTCTAACTTAATACTTTTGGGTTAAGTAATACATCTTGAACTTAAACACTTTCTGAACAATGTCGTTTTAATTGTTATGCATTCCAAGGATCGTACAATAATTGAATATTGACTTCCCAGAACACTATTAAGAGATATTATAATATACATTAATTTTAGTTATTTTAAAACGCTACACCGTCATGGCTCTATCATAGAGAACAACGGTGTTATCACATACACAGACAAGACACAGATAAATACGATAAGACGGACGCATGCTAAAAAGTTATTGTCGGATTTAAGCATGAAACAGTATGTCAGCACCATTTGCACAATTACAAAGACATCAGTATCAATAGTCAAATAGAAAGAGCTCTAGTATACGAACACCTAATGAATATAACGATACATTACAGCCACACTAACCGCCACACAACGCTTCCTCTCCACCTGTGCTTTTACTTAAGACCAGATATCATAACTGTGCACAGATATCATAACTGTGTGTAGAGATGGGTATGGTACAACTCGGACTCGGTCGGAGGTAAGGTGAGTGCTGCGGTCCCCGGTAAAGTCTGCCCTGAGCTGTAACTGGACAAGTCGGACACAGCTTCCCTCAGTTCCTGGCGCAGTGAGCTGATTATTTCCTGCTTCAGATGTTGTATATCGGCATTTGGCATGCTGGACGCCCCAGTGCCCAGACGGTCAATGTCTTGACAACTTCCGGCATGTCCATGGTGATGACCTCCAGAACACGAGCGACCTTTGACTAGAGACAATATCTCGTGCTTCAGGTTTTCAAAGTGGTTCTCCCCACGGGCTATTTCCCGCTTTCGGTCTTCTCTCAGCTCATATCTAAAAGAATGGACAATATGTGTTGACTGCCAATATTAACATTTCGTATTCCTAATACGGTTATCAATTATACTGAATATCCAAGAAGTTGCTTTCTTTATTATTAACCAACCTAGATATGTCATGTAGGGCTGTCTGTATTGCCCAGTCACCTTAGACTAGATATGTCCTGTTTGATCTGGGTTGTTTTTTGCCCACTCACCTTAGACTAGATATGTTCTGTTTGATCTGGGTTGTTTTTTGCCCACTCACCTTAGACTAGATATGTTCTGTTTGATCTGTGTTGTTTTTTGCCCACTTACCTAAGACTAGATATGTCCTGTTTGATCTGGGTTGTTTTTTGCCCACTCACATTAGACTAGATATGTCCTGTTTGATCTGGGTTGTTTTTTGCCCACTTACCTTAGACTAGATATGTTCTGTTTGATCTGTGTTGTTTTTTGCCAACTTACCTAAGACTAGATATGTCCTGTTTGATCTGTGTTGTTTTGTGCCCACCCACCTTAGACTAGATATGTCCTGTTTGATCTGGGTTGTTTTTTGCCCACCTACCTTAGACTAGATATGTCCTGTTTGATCTTGGTTGTTTTGTGCCCACCAACCTTAGACTAGATATGTCCTGTTTGATCTTGGTTGTTTTGTGCCCACTTACCTTAGACTAGATATGTCCTGTTTGATCTGGGTTGTTTTTTGCCCACTTACCTTAGACTAGATATGTCCTGTTTGATCTGTGTTGTTTTTTGCCCACTTACCTTAGACTAGATATGTCCTGTTTGATCTGGGTTGTTTTTTGCCCACTCACCTTAGACTAGATATGTCCTGTTTGATCTGGGTTGTTTTTTGCCCACTTACCTTAGACTAGATATGTCCTGTTTGATCTGTGTTGTTTTTTGCCCACTTACCTAAGACTAGATATGTCCTGTTTGATCTGGGTTGTTTTTTGCCCACTCACCTTAGACTAGATATGTCCTGTTTGATCTGGGTTGTTTTTTGCCCACTTACCTTAGACTAGATATGTCCTGTTTGATCTGTGTTGTTTTTTGCCCACTCACCTTAGACTAGATATGTCCTGTTTGATCTGGGTTGTTTTTTGCCCACTCACCTTAGACTAGATATGTCCTGTTTGATCTGGGTTGTTTTTTGCCCACTCACCTTAGACTAGATATGTCCTGTTTGATCTGGGTTGTTTTTTGCCCACTCACCTTAGACTAGATATGTCCTGTTTGATCTGGGTTGTTTTTTGCCCACTCACCTTAGACTAGATATGTCCTGTTTGATCTGGGTTGTTTTTTGCCCACTCACCTTAGACTAGATATGTCCTGTTTGATCTGGGTTGTTTTTTGCCCACTCACCTTAGACTAGATATGTCCTGTTTGATCTGGGTTGTTTTTTGCCCACTCACCTTAGACTAGATATGTCCTGTTTGATCTGGGTTGTTTTTTGCCCACTCACCTTAGACTAGATATGTCCTGTTTGATCTGGGTTGTTTTTTGCCCACTCACCTTAGACTAGATATGTCCTGTTTGATCTGGGTTGTTTTTTGCCCACTTACCTTAGACTAGATATGTCCTGTTTGATCTGTGTTGTTTTTTGCCCACTTACCTAAGACTAGATATGTCCTGTTTGATCTTGGTTGTTTTGTGCCCACCCACCTTAGACTAGATATGTCCTGTTTGATCTGTGTTGTTTTTTGCCCACTCACCTTAGACTAGATATGTCCTGTTTGATCTGGGTTGTTTTTTGCCCACTCACCTTAGACTAGATATGTCCTGTTTGATCTGTGTTGTTTTTTGCCCACTCACCTTAGACTAGATATGTCCTGTTTGATCTGTGTTGTTTTTTGCCCACTCACCTTAGACTAGATATGTCCTGTTTGATCTGTGTTGTTTTTTGCCCACCCACCTTAGACTAGATATGTCCTGTTTGATCTGTGTTGTTTTTTGCCCATCCACCTTAGACTAGATATGTCCTGTTTGATCTGTGATGTTTTTTGCCCACTCACCTTAGACTAGATATGTCCTGTTTGATCTTGGTTGTTTTTTGCCCACTCACCTTAGACTAGATATGTCCTGTTTGTTCATGGTTGTATTTTGCCCACTCACCTTAGACTAGATATGTTCTGTTTGATCTGTGTTGTTTTTTGCCCACTCACCTTAGACTAGATATGTCCTGTTTGATCTGGGTTGTTTTTTGCCCACTTACCTTCGACGAGATATGTCCTGTTTGATCTTGGTTGTTTTTTGCCCACTTACCTATGACTTGATATGTCCTGTTTGATCTTGGTTGTTTTTTGCCCACTTACCTATGACTAGATATGTCCTGTTTGATCTTGGTTGTTTTTTGCCCACTTACCTATGACTTGATATGTCCTGTTTGATCTTGGTTGTTTTTTGCCTACTCAACTTATACTTGATATGTCCTGTTTGATCTGGGTTGTTTTTTGCCCACTCACCTTAGACTAATTATGTCCTGTTTGTTCATGGTTGTATTTTGCCCACTCACCTTAGACTAGATATGTTGTGTTTGATCTGTGTTGTTTTTTGCCCACCCACCTTAGACTAGATATGTCCTGTTTGATCTGGGTTGTTTTTTGCCCACTTACCTTAGACGAGATATGTCCTGTTTGATCTTGGTTGTTTTGTGCCCACCCACCTTCGACTAGATATGTCATGTTTGATCTGGGTTGTTTTTTGCCCACTTACCTTAGACTAGATATGTCCTGTTTGATCTTGGTTGTTTTTTGCCCACTTACCTATGACTAGATATGTCCTGTTTGATCTTGGTTGTTTTGTGCCCACCCACCTTAGATTAGATATGTCCTGTTTGATCTGTGTTGTTTTTTGCCCACTCACCTTAGACTAGATATGTCCTGTTTGATCTCCAGCAGGTCGTCCTCGTTGACCCCGTCCTGTTGACGTTGTTTCTTCGTTTGGTGAATATACCTACTTACGAGTCTCCTCATCACATCCTGTAAACAGTATAACATCCTATTTCCCTCACATTGTCAACAAGGTCCAATCGGCATTTTAAAGCATCAATCATGACACTAGTTCTAAAATTAATATGCGTTCACTTAAACAAGTGTTAAGGAACGTTTGCAAACGGTAATCTATATTCCTAGTTAACAAAATGTAAATTCTTTTGTTCACTTGTATTGTAAACCAGTTTTTAACATGGTAAATTTTCAATATGATATTAAGAACCAAATTTCCAGACTTCTAATAAACTCTAGCATTAAATAATTTGACTGAATGACCATTTTAAAACCTTCCACAACATTCCCTTACAAAGCTAGCTTCGACTTAAGAGTTAGACCAAGTTTGGATTAGTTTGGTTTAGTATTGTTTAACGTTCTATCAGTTAGACCAAATAATTTAAGTATCAATTTTTAGAAACATAATCATAAAAACAGTCATCTAAACATTTGATCCGCAAATTATGATCCAAGTATATGCACAACGACAATACCCCTATGCTTAGATTCAGTCCAAATCCACAAACAACGCTTCAAAATTAAGTAGTACAATGGTTATATTCATAGCATCTGATCGATTCATAGAAAAATATTTCAAACGCTTTTAGTTATAGATCTGAAATGAACCACAAAGCAGTTTTACAGGGTGATTTTCAAGGACTTCCTGAAACCTCTGTAGATCCACATGTTCGGTAAAAGGTTAGAAGTCTGTTATAAACATACATTGAAGACTTGTAAAACATTGGTGTTCTTTTCAGTAAGACTCGAAACTGACCTTTTTGGTACATCAGTGGTAGCTTTGAAACCTTTGAAAAACATACGAATACATTGAGACCAGGTGTTCCGGATGGGTAAGCGAGGTCTGCTTCATCGATTTTATCCGCCCACGCTAGCTCAAATCCAGGTAAAATTACGTCATCAGAGTGAAAATAGGGGAAGTGACTACGAAACCGCAAGATACACTTATGAGCATCCATACGGGAACATAGAAATGTTTTCTCAAAGAGATTATGATGGCGATCGTAAAACTTGCCCGTAGTCTGCATCACCTGTCAGAGACTTATAATGTTATACATAATGTAGTAAACTGATTGTCTACATAACATTTACCTGGTACATCACCTGTATCTCTCGTCAGAGACTTATAATGTTATACATAATGTAGGAAACTGATTGTCTACATAACATTTACCTGGTATATCAGCTGGGAGTAAGAAGGAGGGATTCCGTAAGCGTCTCCGTTAAAGGCAGATCTCTAAAAAAATCAACAAACATTTCATCCAACATAAATATCCACATTTACTGACAATAATCGTGAGTTAGTTAGCATTCTAGTGTCAAACATTGGTCACGACCTTCGACAATAAAGACAAGCTCTTACTCTTTTATTAAAGTTATTTGAATTAGAATAGAATGTTATTCTAGAGTATAAAGGTGGATGGCTAAAGTACTTACGGAGTATAAGATGGATAGCTAAACCACTTACGGAGTATGAAGGTGGATTGCTTAAACACTTACGGAGTATAAAGGTGGATTGATAAAACACTTACGGAGTATAAAGGTGGATGGCTAAAACACTTACGGAGTACAAAGGTGGATTGCTAAATCACTTATGGAGTATAAAGGTGGATTGCTAAAACACGTACGGAGTATAAAGGTGGATTGCTAAAACACTTACGGAGTATAAAAGTGGATTGCTTAAACACTTACGGAGTATAAAGGTGGATTGCTAAAACACTTACGGAGTATAAAGGTGGATTGCTTAAACACTTACGGAGTATAAAGGTGGATTGATAAAACACTTACGGATTGTTTCACTATTCGTTTCATCCCTGATCCGCTTTCACCTGTCTGTAGTGGTGGATGAGAATAAACAAAACAAAATGTCAGTAAACGAAAACTAGCTGCAACAATGAAACGATGCAGACCAGAACGTGACGAACCCTAAATTGGTACAATTTTCACATTTCTTTTTTTTAATTCCTCTAAAATTCCAAATACCAAATTGCAAATGTTTCTTCGTTTTTGACAAAGACTGTCTATGTTGGTTTAGACAAAGTCTGTCATTGTCTGTTCACCCATCCCCGCTTCAAACATGGATTCTAACATTTTACTTTTCTAATGATAGATTGGAATCAGATCCATTTTTTCAGCAATGAAGAAAACTTAAAATTGAGCGCAGATTTTATCCCAAGCTCCTAATTCTATATAATAGTATAACTACAATTCTTATAGCATGCTTTATTTACGCCATACAAGTTCTATCATAATATACGTCGTTTTTTCTGTTATTTTATCATACACTCTAAAACGTCACTGAATACAAAACAATTTGTACAATTACAGCCGAACAAATGCGTATAATGGTATTCCTTGAAAACGAAAAATACACAAACATTTTCTGTCACTATACCACATCAGGGTAACGTACCAATTAGGGTAGCGTCCTGTTACAAAGCCACCGTTAGTGTGAACGTTAATTGTACGCCTATCTGTGATATATAACAGCTATAGTCTATAATGACATACTTCTACCCGCAATTATTTAAAGTCGCCCTACGGTAACACGACACGTTAAGATAATTATTGCTAGTCGTGTTATATAATTGTAATATTGCTATTACAAAATCAATATCAATTTGTAACGAGATTCAAACCTACAAGTGATAACGAGAGTTTAATAGTCACAATTATTTTGTTTGGTCATGATGATATTCGTGCCATGTCGACGAAGTTTTTACAAATGTTAATGAATCTGTTAATGAAATCAAATAACATGATTTGCCGCCTCAATTATCGCAACAAGTGTTACAGTAATGAAAACCTGGAATAAAATGGCTGACAAATAAATGCGTCTAAATCATATCTAGCATTAACAATTGTATATCTGTAATCTTACCAAGTATATAACATATTGACCATTGCAACTTGTTACATAAAACAGCGTAATACCACAACGTCAGCATACGGTGAACGACACTGGAACTCGTACGAACGCACAACAACTCACAACAATGAGTATTTCCTGCGCCACGTGTGGCAACTGTAATAGAATCCCCTAGTGGAAGATCATGTCATGATTATGACTGTAAAATTTCCTCAGTGTTGTTTGGGACCTCTTTGGTGGAGAACCCTGGATACTACCTTACCACTGAGCAAGATAAACACATTTATCCAGAAAATGCTCTTAAAGCGGTCTCTTCTGTGGATAATAAACCGTGTGATGTAGATAAACTTCAAACTAGGCTATTACATGTAATTAGGGAATTTAACAGTCGAGGAAATAAATTCTTCCCGATATTGTCTTGCTGTAAAAACAAAATAATAAAAGAATTTTACATTTTCAGATATGTGGTATCTGAAAATCCAACTCTGGACGACAAATGTGATGATGGTACTCATGTTATACATGAAACTATTGTGTGAATTTGAAATAAAAAAAATATTGCAAAGAAACTTAGATAATTGATGTAGGCTATATTATAAATGGAACGTAAACCATTGTATGATTATGGTTAATAATTACATCAATTAATTGCCCTCCTTTGTACAGCTGTAACACTGTAAAGTATACATTTTTAAGTGTGATATAAGATTATATTTATAACATTGTGCGATGGGGTTTTTCTCTTGACAGTGTACAATCACATGACCACAGTGTGCCAATCTAAATTGTAAACTCACAGGAGCAATCTACATCGACTTAATGTTTTACTTGTGATTATTTTGCACAGCCTTGATACTATTAATTTCACCTCGGACATGATTTACAGAGGGCATCGGTTTAGAGATGGCACGTGGTGATAAAAAATATTTTGGAGGGTGAGCAAACACGGTAACAACTGACCTTTAAGCATACGACTACTGAGGTTCTGAAATTCTTTTTCAATTTAAACGGTTCCGTTTGATAATGAGAGTTACATATCTTACACCAGCTGGAAAATAATAGCGAATTCTTCAGGTAAAGTCTCAGCTTTTGAACGATAGTTGAAATGCGAAGACTCGACCTGTTAACGAATATATTTAAAACAAACAGTGCAATAATGTAGACAGTTCAGTCTCAAAGGACAAGAAAAACAGATGCCAATTATTTTAAATGTTATTTTAGTGAAAAAGCAGGGTACATATTTTCTGAGAAGTAATCTAATTCAAAGGGACAAAGCAGGGTCACGACGTGATAGTTCTGAGCTATTTTCTATCTCGGACAGAAAAGGTCTTTAATGTAAGAAATACGTTATAAAGTCAATTAATGGTAGACGAAAGAACGAAAGAGCGACAGTAAATTTTATATGTTACAGCAATATCCACTCAATGACAATCTTTCTATATGTAGAATACAAAAAGACAACAACAAGAACTGAGGAGGCACAAAAAGAAAAAGTAAGACATGGATTTATCAATCAAAAACAGATATGATAAGTTCTCTGTTTTTTAACAAAACGAGAATCAAGTCACGAGGACGATCGTAAAATATCCTTTGAGTGCTTGGACTTTCGTTCATTTTCAAGGTAAAATGATACGTTACAATATATTTATATACAGACTCGAGTGCACACAGTAGACAGTAGAACGGGTAAAAGATGGAAGACAATGCAGACGTTAACAACACAGGGCTGTGTACAGATGAACACCAGACAATTTGTAGATATTTTATACAATCATCAGGACCACAACAACAATGTTATAATCACGTGACCCTAATGCTAGGTGCTCGCCCCTCACCGTGAACACAGACAGGTCGTCTAATGCCACCCCTGGCAACCTGGAGTCATGCTCTTCCTTATCATGCGTGTGTGAGGATATCGGCTTCACAGCAAAATAAAATAAAATCATCAAAATTAAGAAACAAAAATTAAATCAAATTAAATCGTTAACAAGTAACAAAGACCGACTGTTTTCTATTCAAAATATATAATATGTTTGACATTGCATCGACAACATGCGCTACTAGCCTTTGTAACAGTGACGAGCGTGTTTGGGACTGATGGTAGTATAGTACATGTACTACCTTTCTAACAGTGACGAGCTTGGTGGGGACTAGAGGTCGTATATCACTACCTTTCTCGTAATAACAAAGCGTTGTTGGGACTGCGAAGCATGCTATTAGTGGTTTTGTGAGGCGATATAACCAACGTTAACGTGAAATTGAAATTCTATTTTTTAGGAAACAAAAAGACAAATTTGTGAAATATTATTAGTACTACAACTCAATGAAAAAAAAGGAATAAGAATATAAAAAATATATAACCTAAATCATAAATGCAAATAAAAAGAATGATGTTTTTTTTGTGGTTTTTTTTTGCATGACCTATGTTAAATAAGACAAAACATGGTGTAAAAGGGAAAACATACAAGTTATTATCTCAAATATATATATCATGCATTATTTAAAACCATTTTATGCAAATCTACAGAATGCTTCACATACAGAATAACAGTACCGAGCACTACTGGACATCACGACCGGCGGTTAAGGTGCTGGACACTGACCTTAATCGTTCCTCCTGATGAAGAGCGAGGTCGACGTTTGTGGTACCGACGGGAGCGGAAACACTTACAGAGGAAAGCATTGCACGAACGGAGGCAGTAGTAAATGGATTTTGGACTGATGATGAGGTTAAAAGGAGCGGGAAGTGTTGATCCCTCGTCAAAGTAGCCCATCCAAAGTTTGGAGCGGCAGAATTTCCACTCCATGTCGGCATGGTTCTGTATACGGTAGTAGAAGAAGTCTTACTTAGAAATAATACCGATTCGAACGGCGGTTAGGAGTACACACCCGTTAGAATACCGTTTTTCCTACACGGCTAGTACTCATCAGCATAAAACATATCACTACTTTCCCTACGGACTACCCACAGTGAGTTGCACTAACATATACGTCTAAAACATCAGCTAAACATTTGCTATAATTACGGTCTGGATACTTTTGGTATAGTGTTTAATGTCCATTCCTTTGTATACACTTCAGTTTCATCGCGCAACATTAAAGCTTAGAGACTACTACTGAAGTTATGACAGTTGAAAATGACTTTACATGTCGCTGTTGTCAACGATGCGTAAATCGAAATCGGAATATTAGTTGACATCCACTATACTGCTCAACGCTAAATGCATGGAATTTTCAACTTTAAATTTGATAAAGCACAATTGCTATAAAAGCCACGTACCTCTATGTTCTGGTAGGAGTTTGACATCATGGCTATCAGCATGTTGATAAGGACGATTGAAGCCATACCGTGATAAGCCATAAACAGTAACATCCCCATCAGTTCCGTGATGTACTGACCCTGGGGAATCTTTATGTCCTTGAGTGCGGTCAGTCCGAAGAGTGACCAGTACAGAGTGATGTAAGACTCGCCTAATCTGAAATATGATCACCAATAGGTAAACCGGGAAATTCAAGGGGTTACGCCCACTTACATTCTCTGCGGAGAACGTCAGAGAGCGAAATCCTTGGATTGTATGACGCCATTAGATTGAAATGCATGCTAAAGTCGACGTGTGAATGTTCAAATGTGTAGAGAAGTTTAAATAACATCAAAGGGTCAACACATAGGTATACAATCATCAGAACGTAAGCTAAACGTACGTGTAGAAGGAGTCGGGGTCTCCCTCTGATCGACTTCCATTGTAGTACCAGTACAGTTGGTTCAGACCACAGGCAAAAGACGTGAGGACGAGGAAGAAGATGAACAGGAATTTGGCAATGTCTATTAGCATACAACCTAGGGAGATCTGCATCGGCCCAAGGTGCTGGTTCGCCTGAAATAGGTAGATGATTCGAGAGAAACTGAATACGTTTGCTACAGCAAACAGACTCTCAGATATGAGTGTTGGATCAAGAGGGGGCCAGTCACTCCGATTCATTTCTCTAGGACCGTATCTATCCGACTTAATGAGAATGTAAGCCACTAGACGTAGTGAGAACGTGGCCAGGTAGAGCGACAACATGATGAAGTCCAGCCAGTTCCACCACTGGCGGATGTAGGCCTTTAGTCCCTCATCCCACAGCTGTTTGACTTCCTGCCACACAAATCCTGAAAGATAAAACGTGAATTGTCATTCCATCTATCAGGGTTGTGGCATCCCTCCACACAAAGTCTAAAAGATAAAACGTCAATCATCAGTCCACCTCTTAGAGATGTTACATCCCTTTATACAATTCCTGAAACATAAAATGTTAAATATCAGTTCATCTAACAGGGTTGTGACATCTCTCCTCAAAAATCCTGAAAGATAAATCATGAATTATCAGTCCACCTATCAGAGAAGTTACATTCCTCCACACGAATCCTAAACTGTGAAATATTTCATATCAGTCCTTTTCCTCATAAACCAAGGATTGAATCAACAAGAGTTGTTCATTTAATTACATAGAAGGTCCAGTTTGAATCGATGCTTTTTATATAATGAATAATCATTGAAAATCTTATATACATGGCACCTCTAAAGGCTTTCGATAAAAATATCTTCATTTTATCAGAAAATGGGATATCAGTGTCTGTATGTGTTATCATAGAATACAGCTCCTGTCAAAACAGAGCCCCGAATGTGTCAATCCTGTTATCATGTTTCTGCGATAAATACAATTTCCTTTAAGCCAATTAATATGGTAGGGTATATTCTTAACACTATCAAAGTTAGGTAGGGCATATCCTCATCAAATTTCTGATATATTTTTGATGTTGACTTAACTAAATGTAATACCACAAATGTCACCCATTTTTACAATATGTTTGCTTGTTTTATACGTACCTGTGACCCAAAACACGAAATGTCACCCTTTTTTACAAGATGTTTGCTTGTATTAATCGTATCTGTGACCCACAACACGAAATGTCGCCATTTTTTTTACAAGACGTTTGCTTGTATTACACGTACCTGTGACCCAAAAGACGAAATGTCACCCTTTTTTACAAGACGTTTGCTTGATTTATACCTACCTGTGACCAAGAATAAAAAATGTCACCCATTTTTACGATATGTGTGCTTGTATTATACGTACCTGTGACCCAAAACACTATGAACCACTCGAGCTGTGATGGAGTTGGGCCTCGGAACCGTTCTCTGTTCGAGTCTCCACTTATTTCTGTGGACACACATACTAGTAAAAACAAAAACACCCCAAACGATGCGCTGTGGTAGAGAAACTTCATAAACGGGCTGCGGAGGAGCTGTCCGATTTTACTGCGCGGGAAAATAAGGTAATATACCGCCATGAATGGAACAAGAAGGATGAGACCGATGCAGAGTAGAAATTTCGTCACGCCGTTCCTCTTCCTCCAGCCGGGCAAACCTTCGTACCAAATGGACGTTAACAACTGCTGGCAGTGGGGATGGGCTACGAACTGAAAATATATAGACACAAAAAAAACCTTCAAAGGGCAACAAAATGTCACGTCAATAATACAAATACACAGCGACCCGTCTTTATAGTTACTCCCAGTAAAGTCCAAACCAACCTCGATAACCAAGGCGTTATGCTCACTTTCGCTCTCTGCAGTCGCTTGGCTTATACCTGTCCTTTGAAGAGTAATGAGGAGCGACACCCGGTGAACACTGATATTTCGATTTTGTCATGTAAAATGCCAGGGGTGCACAGAGCTAACGTGAGCGTAAATCCTGGAGAATCGACGAAGGATCCAAACATATGACCATATTAATAATTTATTTGTTTGGGCATTATGTCCCCGCATAAGATCCCAAGAGAAGCGATGGGGCAGCAGGCGAAATATCTTTTCTTCCATATAACCTCAGCGGAAAACACAGAGAAAAACACAAGTCTGCAAGGAGCCCCACGCTGGACTTGTAGCTCATAGCTTAAACGTGCGTTTCGTCCTCTTAATCCTGTTAATGTTTTAAATTATGTAATTAAGCATTTTTTGCAAATAATCAGTCAAATAAAGAATCTAAAACAATACAAACGAGTCGTATTTGTAACGGGAAGTGTTACAGAGTCCCCAAAACTGCTCCCATAGTCACAAATAATGCTTCAGAAAAAGTTAAGAATGCCATCATTTATCTATATATCTAAATATCGACAAATAAGCTAATTCACGGCGGCCATTTTGTTTGACTTGTAGATGGAAGTCGCAGAAACGTTATAGGCCACTATGTGTCAGCCAGTCAGAAGCCGCGTTGGCCATGTTTGCCTGATATCTTATCAGAAATGTGATGTATACATCGACTTCTACATCTGCACAACACATGCAGTGCTTTTATGAAGTTTCATTAGTATCCGGCAAGTAACCTCATTTTGGGGACTTAATTTGAAAGAACGCAGCAAATCAAATAAGTCCCGTAAGTCGTGTGTGTGACTTCTTTATGCAAACACTGTAACTATTGCAAGTCAATTTTATAGGGGAGGTAACTGTGATACCAGATTAGCAAGTCGGTCTATGTTGAATTTCGATATTAATTGGACAGCTTATCGTATGCATATTGTCACTCAACCAACACTAGGTCTCTCCTCATTGCAAAATTCACACATTAGTTTTAAAAATGCATAGACACATGTTACACATAGACAGCCTACACAGCCTATATATCAGTAGCGGTGACAAGTGCGCTCATGATTATGAATTAATGGTATTTTATAGATACATTGTTACACTTTCTAGTATATTCTTGTTAATTTTATCATCTCTTGGCTTACAATCACGAAGTATAGCAGGAAGACTGCAGTGCGAGTGATTCTCATTTTGTAAACACTCCAAGAGTACCGGTATATGATAATTGAATCCGGCAAAATATGATTCTCTTTTTACTGATTACAACCACTCTAACAGCCAGCATACTCTGGCAGAAGGTCAAAATCCAGGTCGCTTACGTGGCATGGTATGATATGTTTACCTCGGTATTCCATCACTGAAGGACGTCTATATTTTGTTTGGATAAACATTTGTCATGGGAAGGCGACCGATGATTTGTTATGTTTAGGCTTAACTATTTAAATAACGAAAGAGTTGAAGGAAACTGACCGTTAAAGGGTGTTGAACATGATAAAGTTTCTGATTCATAGCAAACCTCAACGATACAATAATAAAACAATTTCATTTTTTTTTTTATAAAACGATGAATCAAGGTTAAAAAAAACTGTTGATAGTGTGAACAGAGATCTTTTGCGGGGGAAACTAGATGTGGATGCTTTGAAAGCAATTAAATCCTTATATCTTGACAATATTAAATGGTAAAGTAGTATGAAAATCATTCCTATTAAAACACCATCCAGAGATATAACGCTCGACGAGATTGTCTTCCTGTGTAAGTGACTGACTGGGCAAATGTATTAATGATTTACAAAGTGGTATACTGAGTGATGAGCCGAGTATCATCTCCATACTTATTCATGCTCTTGACGATAAATCCAAGTAACTGATGCTAGATAAATTAAAAAGATAGTGTAAAAAGAGGAAGCTTGGAATTCACCAAGACAAAACCTACATTGTCCTTTCGTAGAAATAACACTATGACTATAACGGATACAATGTAAATACATGTGGTGATATGTCTAATAAGTCCACTCGTACCTACAGCTAGATCCAAGACAAAGGTTTTCCAGATTTCCAGATTAAGAATAAAGTTTTAAAAATAAGTATTGTTATGATAAATTCGTGCGAAAAATGCACCTTTTTCGTTAGTATAACACAATCATGTAACCCTGACGTTTCCCGTTAGTATAACACAATCATACAACCCTGACGTTTTTTAAATCAATTGATGACACAAATTCGTGTTTTCTCTTTTGATATTAAATTTAATACATGGGATCAATCTGAATCATTTTCAAATTGTTATTAATTCCCTTCCATGTGTTTGACTATCTAGTTGACTAGAAGTATTACCAAGTTCGGCTACTTTGTTAGGCAGGGGCTCTCCCCATTATCTGTTCTATGAACAATCATCTGGGATAACGTTAGTATTTTGATTTAATTATATAATATATTGATTTAATTGTAAAATGTTCTAACGACAAATTATATGTATTGCTAAATTATTCTATAAGAAAGGGAAGGTTGCCTCTTAACTAAAGCTTTGTCCTAGTTGTGTAATTACACTTAAAGAATAAACTAATGGAATTTGGCAATGTGACAATTAGATTGGTATGTTCCTAACCATGTTTGTAAATAGTCATAGTTCATTGTTTGCTAGTGTTCGAGATGTGCATGCACCTCCAGGGAGAGGGCTTGTATAGTCTTTGCATATTGCCCAATTCCCATTAAATCTGATTGATTTAATAAAATATTTTGGAATGAAAAACAAAGCTATCCAAAGGTCGTTGTCTGATTAGGTCATCCAACTGAATCGACAGAGGCTCGCTTAATTGAAAAATTCTAAGACTCGTTTTATAAATCTCATATGAAATCGAAACTCATGTAAGATCCTATATATCTTGCTGGTATTTGATATTGTTTAGAACATTCTCTATTATCTTGCTTGTATTTGATATTGTTATGAACACCGTTTATTATCTTGTATTGGTATTATTTAGAATATTCACTTTAAGTTAAAATATATAGTTGTATATTACATTGATATAGGCTACTTACCTGTTTCTGTTCGTACTTAAGAGCCAATTTTAACCTTGCTAGTGTGAGTTTGTTGTTGTCCACGATTCCGTATTGTCTGTGGTCTGCCTCCTCCTCGTCACTCTCTTTGTTGAGTACAGCGATGACCTCCTCGCTCGTGCGACACTGATCAATGAGATCACAAGCGTATTTCTTACACTGTTCGCTCAGACCCATGTACGTGTCCTTAAACTCATTCTCTCTCAACGCAAGTTTCTGTAGTACCCATGAAAGACGGAATGCCGAGAGAATTGGATCGGGACTGGTCAACGAGATCCATGCTGGGCTGGCAAGAGCTTTATACGTATTTATCCGCAACAGCGAGTGACGTAAGCTGTCTTCGTGCACGTGCTCCTGACACACCTTACAAGAACAGGAAAGCTGATGAGGCTGATTGATCTTTGCGCCCCGGAGGATGAGCAGCTGCAGGATCTCGAACTGGTTGCAATGGGAGGCCAGAATGATGGGTGAGATGTCCTGCGAGTAGTCGGAACTCTCCTCTCCTGTACGCCGACACTTTGACCAGTCTGATCCCAGCATCTCCAACGTGATGGAGGGATGGTCGATCAACATCTCCACGATCTTGTACACACCCTCCCGGATTGCGTACAGCAGCGCGTCCCCGATGCGGACCCCGTCTTGCTGAAGGAGTACCTCCACCAGTTCCACGTTTTCATTGTCCACGGCGATCTGGATGGCTGACCGACCAAGCATGTTGGTGCAGTTGACATTTACATGGTTCGTGCCTTGTAGGCAGCGGATGACGGTGTGTTTATCGCCTCGCTCCACCGCCTCCAAGAAGATCCGCTCCGTCGTGTCCATACCTTGGAACTCCTTGAGAGGCTCCAGGGGCATGGTGATGGGACGGATCTTAGACGAGCGGTGTGAATTACGTCTTTTCACAGAGGATCGGGTCATGCCCTCCACTTGTCGACTCAAACTGTAAGCAAAGGAGTTTCGTATTAAAGGCATATATCATCTAATATTCCAATCATTTCAGGAATTTCCTAAATCATACATGGGATAACACTCTAAAACAAATACATGGATGTTGCATACGACGTGTGACTAAACAGCAGTGTAAAGTTAAAGAAAAATCACGAAATTTGTTTGACATTTGGGGTATTCTTCGTGTGAGCAAGTATAACCATCGATATGTTATATGGTAATATGTTAAACTCTCGGACCAACTTTACATTTATATAAATTTATACGAATGAAATATCAGAAATTATCACATTTTTACCCGTGAAGTATACCGTGAAATTGTTCTTAAGGTAGGAAGTTGTTTGACGATGACGATGCATTTTGCGCAGCGAACGATGAGTGAATTAGAACATGTTTGACAGCGGTGTGACGTTGGTGAATGGTTTCTGACCAGACGGTTTGCGTATAGGTGTGTTATATCTGCCACCTCTGATACTTGTGTTAACCTGACCAAGGACAGATGGAGCTTCACCCAGCACGTGTCTCTTTGTTTGGTTGTACACCCCTCTAACCACTATTAGTCTGACAGCGCTCCATACTGATACTGCTGGAGAGGTTTACTCCAGTAACAGGCACAGTGACGGTACGTCCTGTGTCGTCTTCGTCACAAAGAATTTGATACAAGTGTATCACCGTGGTCAGCTGAATAAGGATTTAGATCCGTTGGCTAACAATATGCTTTTATTGCAAGCTATGGACCATTCGGAGGAAGGGGTTTTTAATTTCAATGTCAAGACTTCACTTGAAGTTACAACCAATTAGAACATAACTTCTATTCGCTGCATTCAAATCGACAGATTTTCAGTTTCAATGTAGATAACGCGACGGTAGAATGTTTTACCTTTGCGACATGTACGAGGGTATTTACGTAACTACACGATTGACAAGCATTTTGTTGTGAGCAACGTTTAGAATATGATAGGAGAAATCTTAGAACTGCGTTTAATAGGCTATATTCAACTTGGCGCGCAGCCATGTTATTATTAGTATGCAGCTTGTTTTTCATATCAAAATAAGTTTCGAGAACGGAAGTGGGATCTAATACGAATCATAGAAAAATGCCCTATCATGCATAGGGGTGTAGGAAAGAAAAATAGATTACTTTTGAGATTTGTTTGTTTGCCTGCTGTATTTTTTCTCTCTCTAGCTGCCTTCCATATACATGCACAAAATAAATAGATAGATGGCGTTGTGGTTAGTCTGATATCATACATAGTATGACGTCATAACAAGTATTCATTTCAGTAAATTTTATTGAAAAATAAGTATTCCGTCGTAGTTAGTATGATGTCATACAATTTTTCATTTCAAATCAATTTTATTGTATTCAAAAAGATACAATTGGATTAGGCACAGGCATTGCCTATAAAAGCCCTTTCCAGAGAAAATACACACATTTCATACATTCATATATACATATATATATAGAGAGAGAGTATTATAGAGAAGATGTAGTATATGTTCGAATTAATAGGAGAATACTAGAACCATTTAATACATGTTCACAAAAAATAATACATGTAATTAGAATATCATAGATTTTACCATTTCAATTAATATAGTCTATTTACTTCAATTATTAATAGCCTAGTGTTTGGTTGGAGGCACTTCAAAGAAATTGTCACTATACACAGTGCCATCCTTCCCAATTACACCAGAGTTATTGTTATAACATAGCAAATACAAACACATTGTAATGTAATTTTTAGTATAGTTTAAGTTAAAATCTTCCAGATTTGTCAATAAACTCCAGAACACATGAGAGAATAAATTTATTTGATTCACTGCTAAGGGGTTTCGTGAGAAACTTCCGTATTCTTATGAATGTCGATCCTTGCTTAAATTGATGACATCTGTACAGGTGTACATTGAAGACAACCATCGTTCTGAAGAAATGCAGCATTCACAGTTTCTTCCAAGTTAGACTGATGAAAGGCAAGAGCCCGACAATATTATTCAATGATTATATGATGAAAGATATATTTAGCTTTTGAGATGACTATAAGTTACATTTATGATTATACACAGTACTGTATAGTTGTTAATATTCACGAGGGTTTTAATATCGCGAATTTCGCAAATGCCTTAGAATTCGCAAAATCAATACCCATGAGATCGTCGACATAATATCCACGCTTCACACGTTAGTAGTGATAGGTCAAAAACTTCGTTTGAAAGAAGTTTACTTTATAAAAAGGGTAACAGAAAAATTGAATTTTCCAAACAAATACAGTCACACACAAAAGATAAATATTCCTACACCACACAAACAAATTGTAACGTACCTACACACACATATAAACATGTACATAACAGATATAAATGATAACAAATCCAAGTTGTACAAAAGCAGCTTACAACATGTAAAACGGTCGATAAGCAAGCTATATATTATATTTGTCAGAGACTCGTAATCGAGTTGTTATGGAAACAGAAAGCTGATCAATAGCTCATCTGAGGAAGTATGGCACACCTACAGTCTCCATCATTATCGCCTTCTCATGTGATATCAAACATTGTCATAGTTACAAAGCAATTGTCCTCTATAAAAGGGCAAGAATTTCATTAGATATAATGGTACGTTGTCAAAGTCAATCAACCTTATGTTTTAATTATCTTATCACGAACTGATCTCGTGAACATCCCCAGTGAGATTGTTAGGTCAAAACAGGTTGTATTCAAGGTCCCCAGTATCAGGTAAAATCAAAACACGTTCTTTTTATCGAGTTGAAACTTAAAATGATATTTAAACAATTTTAGAACACAACTAATAAAGATTGTATACAAGGTTCAACAGTTAAGTCGACAATTATAAAGGTTGTATACAGGGTTCACAATATTAGTCGACAAATATACAGGTTGAACACAGGGTTCAACAGTTTAGTCGACATTTATAAAGGTTGAATACAGGGTTCACGATATAAGTCGACAAATATAACGGTTGTACACTGGGTTCAAAATTTAAGGCGACAAATATAAATGTTGTATACAGGGTTCACAATATAAGGCGACGATTACAAAGGTTAAACACAGGGTTCATTGTTTTAAGTAAAGATGATACAAGCTGTATACAGGGTACACTGTTTTAGGTAAAGATGATATCGGTTGTATACAGGGTTCATTGTTTTAAGTAAAGATGATATAGGCTGTATACAGGGTTCACTATTTTAGGTAAAGATGATATATGCTGTATACAGGGTTCACTGTTTTAGGTAAAGATGATACAAGCTGTATACAGGGTTCACTGTTTTAGGTAAAGATGATATCGGTTGTATACAGGGTTCGCTGTTTTAGGTAAAGATGATATTGGCTATATACAGGGTTCACTGTTTTAGGTAATGATGATATTGGCTGTATACAGGGTTCACTGTTTTAGGTAAAGATGATATATGCTGTATACAGGGTTCACTATTTTAGGTAAAGATGATATCGGCTGTACACAGGAATCACTATTTTAGATAAAGATGATATTGGCTGTAAACAGGGTTCACTGTTTTAGGTAAAGATGATTTCGGTTGTATACAGGGTTCGCTGTTTTAGGTAAAGATGATATAAGCTGTATACAGGGTTCACTGTTTTAGGTAAAGATGATATAGGCTGTGTACAGGGTTCACTGTTTTACGCAAAAATGATATTTGCTGTTTACAGGGTTCACTTATTTAGGTAAAGATGATATCGGCTGTACACAGGAATCACTATTTTAGATAAAGATGATATTGGCTGTAAACAGGGTTCACTTTTTTAGGTAAAGATGATATAAGCTGTATACAGGGTTCACTGTTTTAGGTAAAGCTGATATTGGCTGTATACAGGGTTCACTATTTTAGGTAAAGATGATATAAGCTGTATACAGGTTTCACTGTTTTAAGTAAAGATGATTTTGGCTGTATACAGCGTTCACTGTTTTAGGCAAAGCTAATATTGGCTGTATACAGGTTTCACTGTTTTACGTGAGGATGATAAAGGCTATATATAGGGTTCACTATTTAGGTCAATATAAAAAGTGTGTACAAGAATTAATAGTATAATGATAAAGGCTGTAAATAGGGTTTTCTATTTTATAAAAAATAATAATGATAAAAGATTTATTTAAGGTGCACATTATAAGTAGAAAGTACCATATTGTTTTTAACATGTAGAGCCCTTTAATGTTCACGAATTTGAAAAAAACCCACTAAAGGTTGTATACTGGGTCAACTATTTTTGGCGAAGATACCATGTTTAGGTAAATGTAGTAAAGGTTGTATAGAGGATTCGCAATTTTACGTAAATACAATATAGGTTTATGTTTGGGGTTAAGATATACGGTGTATACGTTCATTATTTAGGTAAATGTATTACATTGTTCATTACAGGGTTCATTGTGTTAGATAAAGAATAGGATGAGTACATACAGGGTTAACTATTCCAGAAAAAGACAAATATTGTATAGAAGGTTCGCACTCAATGTTAAGATGTCACTGAACTTAAATGTCACTATTTCAGGCACAGATAGTGAAGGTTGTATACAATATTCGCAATGTTATATAAAGATTATAAAGGGTTGTTAATAGGATTCATTAGTTGTAGAAAACGTGTGTAGAGAGGTTCACCAAAGAGTGACGGTTAGTAAGCATGTCTATCTTTGTCGAGTAAATTAATTTTCAAATTGTTCAAAGACATGAGATTTTCTATACTGTAAAGAATTATACATTCAAAAATATCAGCAGATCTGAAAATGTACACATATAAGTTTAAAGAAAACGATATTGAACAATATTTCATTGTGTTGTCAAAAGCGGAAATTAATCATTTTAGTAAAAATAGACAAACAATGCGCCTGAGGACAAAACCCTTTGCCGTGCTCACCCGGCGAATGTAGAATCATAGACTTTTTGTACAAATGAGCATGAGCCATAGCCACTACATGTTAAACACCTGTGACCTGTAAGCCCTAGAGT